AAGAGCAATATAACTGTTCGAAAATGTTATCCAGTTCTGTTTATGTGCGAAAATGCATTGATGAAGATCTGCTATTTAATCTCCTCTAGTTCACCCTTTATAACTGATTGTTCAATTTTCATACTACAAAACACCTAGCTATCTAAGTTTTCACTTCTTAGAAGGAGAATATTTTACTTCACCTCACTTTATTCCTCACAAAATTTCTAATTATAAATAACCCATTGAAAAAACACTACGCGAATCTATTTTCGAGGGGGAAAAGATTCGGCTGAGTGATTAATGCTGTAGCACCTATCCATCCGCCTGCTGAATAAGAAAGAGAAGGAAATCTTCACGGAGACACTAATACTAAAGTAAAGTAGTACCAATACGAAAAAATTGGTATGAAAAGTTCACAAGAGTCATCTTTATTTAAGATACATTTGGTTGTAAAGTTATTTGCTATTTTCTTTTTTTGTAACCAGTATTGTAAAGTAGCTAAGTATCAATTAAAGTGAAGAGGCCTTACTTAATCAAAAAATATTTCTTACTCTTTTTTAGTTTTTAGTGTAAAAATCTTCAACAATTGTAAAACCCAGGAATCCACACTTTAATTTTTTAGTTCTATCTTGCAAGGCAAAAGACTTTTAAATTACTAAAGAGGGCGAAAAATTCAAATTGCTAATCACCCATTATGATCGCGGCATGAATACAATCTTTTAGTTTAGTTTTCGTATATGTATTGTTCTTTTTTTTCCGCGAAAAGTATGAGAATATTTTATCACCGAGCGAGTAATAAAGCGAAATACCAGATTTTCAAAAGAGAAAGTGTTCAAAAGTTACAAGTAATACTTCAAAATTCTCAGACCTAAAAGTGATCTGAATGCAAGTGAAAAGTTTTCATGAAATTGTATACTACTTATAAGGAGAAGAGCAAGAAGGACTAAAGCTAGGGAGGTATGGGGAAAAAATGCGAAGCTCAGAAGAAATAAGAGAAACTCAGAGATCGCTCTAATCGCTACCTACTCAAATTGGAATTCCTAATAGGTTACTCTACACTCATATCATAATTACATTTAAATCAGGTAACAGGAACTGAACTGTAACAGACGGCGAGAACCAAGTGAACTAGAATATGCATAACGGAAAGATGAAAAGATAACAACGATGGATGAGAATGCATGGGAAAAAAACGTTGACACCGACACCGACATTGTTTCTTTCAGCGAAAAAAAGTGATGCACGAACAAGAATATTTGAACATACAAAAGGAAAAGGTGATCTATCATGTTGCCAGAAGTATCTTAATTTCAGGCATTTCTATTAATGTGTCTATCTAATAGAAACGTTCCCGATGAAACATGACATTAAGCAAACACATTCACTTTCTATTTTCCTTGAAATTGTATATACTTCCAAAATGATTCATTTTCCCTTAGACAGAGCAAGGCATTTTATTTCGAAACATGATCATTACTGTTGATTTTCGCGCGATAAGCTTGATTATTTGGATAGATATACAGGTAAACGTATAGAAACAATATAAATGTGTGATAAAGTCAGACATTTTCACAGACAAGCATCCTAGAATTCCAGTTTTTAATGTTTTTTGGCAAATTTCAATACTTTAGATAATTACAATTTTGAAAAAAAAGTAGGTCAATTTATTTAATCTCACATAATTGTCATATATTACATTACAAGATGTGCGTCCCTACTAAATTGTTTAAGAGAAAATAAAAGGAGTAACCAAAAAAAAAACAGAAAAAGGGGACATCACTTCAATTTTTTTGATGCTTACCAGAAATCGTTGAAAAAAATATTTTCAATGCCGTTTATTTATTATAAAACCCTAATCAGTGATATGGGTTGCCCACTCCAAAGAACTTGATAGCTTTCAAGAATTTCCTGCAGTCGTTGCTTTATATATTCGTAATCAATCATATAAGTACTACATGTGTATTATAAATCATATAGGGAATAAATTCGCAATCAGTATTTCAGAATCGCGCTAAACACTACATTTAGAGAGATTTTTGAGCGAGTTGTTCATTAAATCCTAAGAATAAAAGTCAAAAATTGATCTAACAGCTGATGTTTGAGCGGTAGACCACGATTGTTAACAATATAAGGCTGACGTTTCTATG